CAGGCAGCACAGGCAGCACAGCCTGGGTAACACACCGTGTACAGGAAGGCCAGCACAGCCAGCACAGCCAGCACAGGCAGCACAGCCTGGGTAACACACACCATGTACAGGAAGGCCAGCACAGCCAGCACAGCCTGGGTCACACGTACCGTGTACAGGAAGGCCAGCACAGCCAGCCCCTGGGGCTTGTCTTTGGCTTCCTCAAAGCTGGAGTAGTTCTCAGAGTTGTAGTGGACAATGTGCAGCTGCAGAGAGAGACAGGGTCATTCAGCAAGGGGTGATGAATGGCTTCTGGGTGTTCAGAGGGACAGACTGAGGGGACAGCCACCACCCCAATTCCTGCTGCTTTGGGACCTTTGGTTTGACAGGTTCTTCTGTGCCAGCAGCGTCAGGCTGAGCCCTCCCATTGCACCAACCCCCTGTGGGAGCCCTTGGCTCGGCATTGCTCCCTGCAGGCTCTGTGGGGTGCAGCTCCCACCTCCCTGTGCCGGAGCCCCCGAGCCCTCCCTGCACCAACCTCGGCGAAGTAGCGCATCCCGTCGATGGTGTGCTCCGAGCCACTGGTCTCCAGGTCCAGCCCACCCCAGTGCAGGTGCATCTGGACAGCTGTGTACACACCTGGGAGCCCTCTGGAGATGTTCAGGGTGGGTGGCAAATCGATCTGAACTGAAGAATGGCAGGGTTGGAGGCAGCAGTGGGTGCAGCCTTGCCCAGCCCTGTAGCGGCTCCTGCGGTGCCCGCGGCACCTCCTGGAATGAGCAGGACCCCAGTGTGGGAGGGAAAATGGGGAAGTTTCGAACTGGGTGTGCTTCAAGGCTTTCCTGGGCTCAGGCTGGTGCAGCAGAGCAGGCACAATCGGGACTGGGCACTGCCCAGCTGTGCCTGCAGACCCCTTCTCCCCCAGCAGCTCCGGGTTTGGCTCAGGCACCAGTGAGCGCTCGAATGCTCAGCTCTCACTCAGCACAGCACATCTGGCACATCTGGCACATCTGGCACAGGCCTGTTAACCACTTCCTTCCCAAGGCAGAAAAGGGGAATAGGAATCAACACAGTGCCTGGCCTCATCCCTTTCCACAGTTCCCAGTGAGGCCCAGCCGTTCTGTCGGTTTGAAAAGGCTGCGTCATTGCTGATGGATCTGGGGAGACAAACCTCTTTTCTTCTCCTTGCCAAGAAGAAGTCACAAACCTTCTGTCTTCCTGCTAATTCACTGCCAGAAATCATAGATTATGTTAATAAATCTGGGAGTGAAAGTGGAGAATTGCCTCATCTAAATGAAAGCCCCCAGCATGTTCTAAAAACTAGAAACTATCCTTGCAAAATGCAGCACAACATATTATTAATTAGTCACAGTTTAGGTTTCTGAGGAGTTTCTTTTGTTTGTGAACTGTTTATAGACAGACAAGATGAAAGCATGTTTCCTTTCAATATCCCAAAGGCTCTAGAGTGGGAGGGATAAAATAATCTACCTTTTTCATAAGTTCCCTGCTGACTGCCTTCCATAATGAGGGTTA